GGTGAAGATGGCCTTCCGCAAGGCCTACTCCATCAAGGACAAGCTGCAGGCCATCGAGCGCGTCAAGGGCGGCGAGCGGCAGGCCAGCGTGTGCCGCGACTTCGGCGTGCCTGGCGGAACGCTGCGCGGCTGGCTCAAGGACGAGCCGAAGCTGCGCTGGTTCCTGGAGCAGCTGGGCGGCGAGGTGGGCACGCAGCGCAAGAAGATGCGGCTGGCCAACGAGGAGGAGATCGACCGCGCGGTGTACTCGTGGTTCCTGGCGCTGCGCCAGCACGGCGTGCCGCTGTCGGGGCCGCTCATCCAGGCGCAGGCCGAGGCCTTCGCGCGCCAGATCTACGGGCCCGAGTGCACCTTCAAGGCCAGCCACGGCTGGTTCTGGCGTTGGCAGAAGCGCCACGGCATCTCCAGCCAGCGCATTTACGGCGAGGCCGAGTCCCCGGCTGCCGGCCCCGCTCCGGGCTCGCCGGTCAAGCAGGAGCCCGGGCAGCCTCCGGGCGCCGGCTCTCTGCCGGGCCGCGTCCCGCTCTCGCCAGCCCCCGTCGAGGGCGGCTATGACGATGAGCAGATCTACAACGCCAACGTCACCGGCCTCTACTGGAAGCTGCTTCCGGAGCAGGCTGCACCCCTGGGGGCCCGGGGCTGCGGCCCTCGCTGGCGGGACGACCGGGTGACAGTGCTGCTGGCCGCTAACCTGACTGGCAGCCACAAGCTGAAGCCACTAGTCATCGGGCGGCTGCCCGACCCGCCCAGCCTGCGCCACCACAACCAGGACAAGTTCCCTGCCTCCTACCGCTACAGCCCAGATGCCTGGCTCAGTCGCCCTTTGCTGCGGGGCTGGTTCTTCGAGGAGTTCGTTCCGGGCGTCAAGCGCTATCTGCGCCGCAGCTGCCTACAGCAGAAGGCTGTGCTGCTGGTCGCCCACCCACCCTGCCCAAGCCCAGCTGCCAGGATGCCTGCCCTGGAGGAGAGAGAGGAGACCCCCAGGCGGTTCCGGCCTGAGCCCCTCAGCCACCCGGAGGAGCTGCAGACCCCTGATGGGGCTGTGCGAGTGCTGTTCCTGTCCAAGGGCAGCAGCCGAGCACACATCCCTGCCCCACTAGAGCAGGGAGTGGTGGCTGCCTTCAAGCAGCTGTACAAGCGGGAGCTGCTTCGGCTGGCCGTGTCCTGCGCAGGGGGCTCCCCGCTGGATTTCATGCGCAGCTTCATGCTCAAGGACATGCTCCACCTGGCTGGCCTCTCCTGGGACCTGGTGCAGGCAGGCAGCATCGAACGCTGCTGGCTGCTGGGCTTGCGAGCGGCCTTCGAGCCTCAGCCAGAGGATTGTGCTGGGCAATGGGCTCGCCAGGCTGAGGAGGCAGCTGAGCACAGCAGGGTGCTCAGCGACCTCACACACTTGGCCGCCCTGGCATACAAGCGCCTGGCACCTGAGGAGGTGGCTGAGTGGCTGCACCTGGATGATGATGGGGGGCTGCCTGAGGGCTGCAGAGAGGAGGCACGCCCTGGCCGGCCCCCTACACTTGCCCCTGTGGCCCCTCCACCCCCTGGCAGCCTACCCCCTGTCATGGAGGGTGGGGAGGAGGAGGCTGCTGTGCCCACTGCTGGGGAGGCTGTTCGGGGTCTGGAGACAGCTCTTCGGTGGCTGGAAAGCCAGGACCCCCGGGAGGTGGGGCCACTGAAGCTGGTGCAGCTGCGCTCACTGATCAGCACAGCCAGGAGGCTGGGGGGCATTGGGTCTTCTGAAGCCCCTGACAGTGGGGTGTGACCAAGCCAGTCCTATTGGCCCCCCTGGGGCCTTTGTCCTGTTGCACCTGGAGGGAGGGGACACACACAGTCTCCCCTCTGCCCTCCCCTGGGGTGGCCCACCCCATGGCTAGGGTTCCAGGGATCCTGGCCCTGCCATGTTTGGAGGGGCTCTGTTGGTGAAGGGTCATCCTGCTCTACTGTCCCTCCAGTCTCCTGGGGGTAGCTGGAAGAAAGGCCCCGGGCTCCGCCTCCTCCTCCCTGAGCAGCCTGGTCTGTGGTCTTAGCCAGGACCCCTCCCACACACACCTGGCTTACACACACCACAGCACTTATAAAAGGGCAGGGCCCTGTGTTCCTGCCTTTGCCTCATGGGACTGAGGCCTCCGGCCTGGCCCACCCTCAACCCCATGATCTGTCAACTTGCACTGGACAAGAGCCTGGTCCTCCTGTCCACCCTGAGCCCTGGTGCTGTGTGGTTCCTGTGCCACTGCCACAGCTGTGGCTTCTCGGTGGGGGGAGACACCCTCAGTTTTGTTTTTATCACATTAAATCCATTTTTACAGATATGGGGGGCAGGCAGCAGGGGGTGTTTCAGTCTCAAAGGATGGGTTCTCTGGGCTGGGAAAGGAGGATGGTGTCCAGCACTCAGGCCTCCTGACATTCTGGATGCAGCAGGGGTATAGATTTCTGTTCCACTTGGACTTTTAATTTTCCTTAATACTTTTTCCAAACAGCTCTTATTCTGTGGGGTTGGCATGCGGCTGAATTTGGGGCCTGGTGACTTGACCAATGACTGGACAGGGTCCTTGGACTCCCAGCAGCCATAGCCCACTTTGTCCAGGCCCAGGGCCCAAGGCCACCCACCTGCTCAGAGCTGGGGGCAGGTGAAACTGACAACCACGCTGAACAACCCTGCAGTGCCTTAGGGCCCCAGGCTCCTCCCCTCTTTGGCAAGGGCATGGCTGAGTGGCTGCTTCCCCAGCCCAGGAATTGGACTTCTGGGTGGCAGTTTGAAAGGGTAGAAAAGCTGCCTGTGTTTTGACCCAGCTGCCCCATCCACTCTGGATTCAGATACATGCTGGTGGTCTGGGGCCCAGAGATGCCTGTCCCTTCTGGGTGCTGCCTTTGCAGAGATGCTGCCAAGAGGGGCAGGGGACTGACAGAGAGGCACTGCCTGCCTCTGGCACTGTCTCCTGCCCCTAGATATCTTGGAGGCCAGAGGTTGCAGACAGTGTGTTTGTGGAATGGCTGCACCTCTGGGAGGTGCTAAAGGGCTCCCTGGGGCAATAGCCACACAAGTCCAAGAACATAAACAGTTCCTTAGGACCGCCCCCAGTCAAAACACACACACACACACACCTTAAATCTGAAAGTTGAGGGAAGGTGTGGAGAATTTGGCATCAAGAGAAGTGAGCCTTGGCTAGCCAGGCCCAGGGCAGCCGCTCCTGCGGAGGAGGTAGGCACCTGACGCCTCCCTTGCCAGCTGTCTGGAGTCTGCACACCTAGAGGAACCTTTGGCAGTCTGAGGCTGGTCCTGGGTCTCTAACCCAACAACTGGCCAGGGGCTTCAGGAGTCCTGCCTTTTATACCATCTATCACTCCTGTTGATAGGGACCCAGGGCCAGGAGACTTCTGGGTGTGGGAGGCAGACCTTGGCCTAGATGGGCAGCAGGTAAGGGTGTACCTGAGGCTCTATACAGTCCAGGTGGCCCCTGGCAGGGGCCCTTCAGCCTGCATCAGCATTGCCCTCTCTGGCCCTCTGTGGGACCCGTGTCAGACCTTGTGCCTAGCTATCAGGCTGCCTCACATCACACCAGCCCCCTCCCAACAGGAGAACCAAGGCTGCACCCCAGGGGGAAGCTCTGGCCTGTCTGGGTGGCCCTGAATGGACACTGGTAAAACCAGGCCAGTCCAGTCTGGCATGGGGCCCTGAGAAGCTAGTTTGAGTGCCAGTCAAGTGTCGGTCCAGAGGCCTTTGGCTTTGCTGAGTGGGGGACCCCCTCACAAGAGGGCCTGTACAGGTGTCCTCTCTAGAATGGAGGCAAAGGTGTCATATGTGCCTTGGGGTGGAGGCTGCAGGCACCTAGCCCTGTAGACAGTCCCACCAACAGGTCATTGTGATCCTGGGTTGCCCTGGGGCCCCATCCCATTGCAGCTACTGGTTCAAGTCACCCATCTCCCTGGGCTCAACTAGGTGTGAAGTAATGGGGCACCTGGCTAGAGGTTTCCTGCAGGAGACCCCAGAGTTTGTCTGCAGCAAAATGACTGAAGTGCATCCCAGCTGGTGGCCTTACTCCACAGCCTGTCCTTCATTGTTGTTTATCTGCTGGGCCCATAGTCTCTTGAGCTTGTCACCCTGGTTTGTAATGACCTGAGAATGAGGTGGTGGGTACCACTGGGTTGATGCTGCTAGAATCCCTTCATTCATTGCATGCAAGCTGGAAACTTGCCCTGGAGGATTACACATTCCCTGTCAGAGGTGTGGGGCCCCCTGCAACCTTGGTGCTTGGGGGCAAAGCCATCAGCCTCTCCCCATCCTATTCACAGCCCTTTGATGAAGACAGTGTAACTGCTCTTCCAGTGGCCACTGGTCAGGGTATTGTGAGAGCTCCCCTGTGGGCTTGGCAGTGGGCAGGGAAGGTAAGCATGCACAGGTTTCTGAAAGCACCCAAATCTGTTTTGGGGGGTAAGACCAGGCTGCAACAGTCAGGGGGCACCATCTTGCCTGAGAGGGCTGCATGCTTGGGAACTGGCCCCCCAGATGTAAACTGCAGATGAAGGTCCCGTTGGCCCAAGTGCAGGTCTGGCTTGCTGTGGAAAGCCCAGGTGGGAGTAGGGCCCTGGGCAGTTTGGCCCATGGTAAGGGTGCCCACAGGTGAGGCCTGACTCTGGTGGTATATCCTTGAGAAGACTGTGGGTTGGTGGGTGGCATGCTGTGAGGGGCCCTTTCACACCCAGTATCGCTGATGGTGTTCACCTGGTCAGATGGGCCCAGTGTATTTTATAATAAAGGCTGAATGTGCCAACTTCATACACATATCCATTCTAAAGTCTTATTTGTGTAGCTTTGACCCAGTGCTTGGATCTAAAACTCATGTTGAAAAAGTGGGGAGAGTATAAAAATGGAACAGTGAAGAAGCCACTATATGCACCAGCTTCTAGTCACTTTAACCTTGTGGTATAAGGTGAACAGACCTGGCCAGCCAAGGATTGGACTGTGACCCTGCCCCCTCTTGAATCAATGTGTCCTGTCATAGGCCACCACTATCTGGGGCAGGGCTGGGTTGGGGGCACATCAAGGTGCATCTCATTCAGGGAGTGGCCTGCTGGGCCCAGCCCACCCTAGTCCCCAAGGATTATGAGATGCATTGCTGGGACCCACTGCTGTATGGCTGAGGGTGAGTTGGGGTGCAGGGCTCTCAAGTGATGGTTATGGGTCACTATCATGTGCTGCCAGTCCCCTGGAATTTGGTATTACTGGCCTCCCATTAAATATTGGTCACTCCACGCTCTCAGATAGTGACTTTATTCCCATTTCACAGGTAAAGAAACCTGCTGTGGAAATTCTCAGGCTGACTCCTCTAACAAGTGGTAGGCCCAGGGTCAAACAAAGGCAGGAATAGGGTGGGGGCTGGAGGCCCCGGAGGAGGGGCAGACCTTGGGGCTGTGTGTATGGCAGATGGCAAGGCCACCAGGCAGGCACGGGAAAGCTGTTGCGCAGGAGCCTCAGACACCTTACAGACTACTTTCCTCAGCTGGTAGGTGGCAGCGGGAACTGGGGAAAGTCAGGGGAGCTCCAGCCTCTGGGGCCTTTGCAGGCAGTGAGGCCTCAGTGAGCCTTGGGGGTAGTGCAGGAGACGGCTGCAGGTGACTCCCCCCACCAAAAGGCCCCAAGGCCTTGCTTCGGGCCCCAGTCCCCAGCCTGTTGGTCTGTTCATGGATATGCTGGAGAGCAAGGTCCTGCAGTCAGAGGCCAGGCCTTGGGACCCTCTAGGACTTGATTAAGAAGGGTCATCAGGGCCAGCTCCACTTGCCACCTGCCAGGAGCTTAGGGTCTGGGGGAGGGACCAACACCCAGCTAAAGTCAGGTGTGTGGTTCCCACTGGCCAAGGCCCATCCTCCTAAACCTGGAGCAGCGCCCCCTGACCTGGTCACAGGCCAACGTAGTGATAAAACAGATGTAGTGGCATAGCACCACTGGCTTCACTGAGGGGAGCAGGTCTCATGCAAATTCCCATGTCCCCACAAGTCAGAGCTGACTGCAGCCACACAGCTGCTCCTGTGCCAGGGGCTCTGCTCATGCCTCTGCTAACCGGCCAGCTACGGGCACCTGACCATTACTGCCAGTGCTCAGGCCCTCAAAACCTACATTACCCCTTACGGTGGGCCATCACCATGAGGCCTTGTGCCTGGGTGCAGGGACTACTGAGGGATCCCCTCCAGTCCTGTCCCTCATGTTCCCTGTATAGGAAGTGGGGAATAACCAGCAAGGCTCCTAAAGATTAGAGGAACCACAGTGCTCAGGAAGGATCCAGAAGGGAATGGGGGAGGCAGGCCTGCTCTGGGGACCCAGGGGCTGTGGCCCATGTCTAGCACCTGCACTCTACTTTCTGCTGAGCTCCTTGGCCCGGCAGGTGGCGGCCTCCACGGCGCTCATGGTGGCTGCCCGCAGCCCACCCTGCTCCAGGGCATGAAGCCCATGGATGGTGGTGCCACCAGGCGTGCACACGTCCATCCTCAGCTGGGCTGGGTGCTGCCCCTTCTGCAGCAGCATCTTGGCTGTTCCCTGGGGAGAAGAGTGTTGGTGGCCAGTGACTCCAGGGAAGAAGGCAGCCCCTTCTTTCTCCAGCTCAGCCCACTGTGCAGCCAGCTTTGTCATGCGTCCCCGCTGCTCCCAAGAAGCATCCAGGCCCATCACCTTTCACTCATTCCCCTGGGGCCACAGTCACTCACCAGCAGGGTCTGGGCGGCAATGCGGTGAGCCAGGCCACTGGGCATGCCCATCTTGATGGCGCCTTCAGCCAGGGCCTCAGAGAACACACACACCTGTAGGGGTGACAGTATCAAAGCCAACACTCCCCTGGACATAGGATCCAGCCTGGAGAAGTCTCAGAACCTTCAGAAACAAGGCCCAGAGCAGGGCCCAGGGCCGAGGCTTGAGCCCAGGGGTCTGCCAAGGGTCAGCTCAAAGGCCCAGGAAGGAAATAATGTGGGGGAAAGCAAAGTTCATGGGCAGCCAGGGACCAAGCCATCCAGTCCAAAGAGTAGGGGCAGCCACAAGGACTTGGCCGATGGCTGGCCTGTGGGGGTGGGGAGGGCCAGGCAACACTCACAAAGGCCACGCCACTGCCACTGAGGCCAGTGTGGATGTCCACGTGGGCCTCAGGCACCTCTTCACACTGCCCACAGGCCTCCAGCAGAGTATGTAGAAGCTCGGCCTCACTGCTCCGGACGTGGTGGCCCCGGACCATCACCATGGCCCCCTCCTGGACCACGCAGGGCAGATTGGGTGAGATCCGCAGCACCTGGGCCTTTGGGGGAAGCAGCTGGCCAGAGAGAGGCTGCAGTCAGGAAACCTGTGGGATCGGCTTGCCAGGCAGGCACACATCTCAGCCAGACTCCCTCCCTTGCTTCCCAGGTGCAGTGCCAGAAAGAACCCTAACCCCAGTCCCCTGAGCCACCCAGCCACATTGGCAGGCTGGCTAGGAGGCTGTGTGCCACCTGTCCCACCCATACTGAGCCCAGGATGGAGATGGTCTGGGACAGACAGCAAAGGCTGGGAAGCTGAGTCTGGTCAGAATAGCATACTCTGGGGCGACAGCCTCATCCCCACAAGCCACTCACCTCCTCTAGGGTGCTCAGAGAGACCCCAGCAGCCACAGACACCAAGATGTGCTCAGAGGTGACTACGGGGGCGACCTCTGCCAGGACAGCTGGCAAGACATGGGGTTTGGTGGCAAAGAAGACGAGTGAGCAGCTCTGAAGCACCTCTTGGTTGGAATGTGTGGTCTGGCAGCCCAGAGCCTATACCGGAAACACAGGAACCAGGATAGGGTAAGTGGACATCTTCCTAAATCCCGCCCTTTGGGCTGGAGGCCACCCTGCATTACCATGAGTCTCTCCCCTTACAAATGCCGGCATCCCCTACCCCACTCCCAATGACCCAGACTCAGCCAGACCACCCACTCTTGCTTAGGGCCCAACCCTGAACTTCAGAGACACCCTGATGTCAACACCTCTGTGAGCCCTCCAATCCCAGTGAGTGCCCATGACCATCCCTACCCACCCCAACATATGCACGCATGCATGCACGTCCATATACACATATACGTGCACACTCACACATGCAAACACCCACACCCCTTTACTCTGCCCTGGTCCTCCACAACCTTGACTTTCCTTCTGGCCTTTGACCTTCCCTTCCCCAGCCCAGCCCAGCTAGTCTCAAACTTTATATAAGCAACACTTCCTGGCCTCAAGAAGTGTCTCAGAGGGACAGGAGCCAAGAGCCCCCAGGACCCTTGGGGAAGCCTCAATTCAGGTGGGTCCCAGCTCACCTGAAAGTGACAGAGGTTCCTGTCAGTTGGTGCACTGGCCAGCACGTGCTGGGCTTCCACTTTTCCTGGAGAGAAAGGCAAAGGACTGGTGTTATTGAGGAGGTGGGGTGGAAGGAAGGGGGGGGGGAGCCAGTCTGGCCTGCCCCTTACTGAAAACTGGCAGGTTCAGCCATGCCTGGGCCATCTTGGCCCTTGGCTGGCCTGAGACTCTCCAAGAACCCAAGTGCTCAACAGGGGTGCTCCATGCAGCAAGGACCAGGCAAGCAGATCCATTTAATTCTACTTGGCAGTCACCGCCACTGCCTGCTGCTGCTGTTGCTGAGTCCAGAGGCCCTGCTGGACATGTGCCAGGAGCTTGACTCATCTTGTGAGGACACAGATCCCAGGGGCCTTTGCCTTTAGGGATTGGAAGTGTGAAGAACAGGGGGCATGATGGGTAGGGAGGCCCCATGGGGGTGGGCTTCCCTGGGACAGGGTGCATCTGTGCTGGGACGTCCAAGCAAAGGCTAAGTGCTTATTTGGTAGAAATCATCTGTTTGTGGAGTATGAAGGTTAGATTTCTATAATGTCGGAAACAGGACGGCAGAAGTGCACCCCAAACCTGAGCCCAGAACTGATTAATCATGACTGTGATGTCCACTATGCACTACACACACATACCAGTACTGTGCTCAACACGAATCCAGCCCTGGGAGGCAGGCGATACTGTTGGGCTTTAAAAGTAAAACAACTGAAATTTGCAGTAAACTATTTTGTGACTGATTTTGACCCATTTGGACTTTGATATATGGTCGAAGGCAGAAAGCCAGCCCATTATCCACATGTAAAGGTTTCTAATTACTGCGAAGCAAGGTTGAGACAGAATTGTCATCCCTTACAGTAAAGCAGTTTCTCCACAGGGGATGATCTGGCCTCAAATGTCCATAGTGTGGAGGCAGAGAAATCCTGTAGGGTGCCACTAGGAGTGAAGCTGCCATAAAAATAGAAAAGGAATTGGAAGCTCAGAGAGGTTAAGCAACTCGACCAAGGCCAGAGAGTTGGTGCCAGATCCCAGGCTCTAAGCCAGCGCTGTCCAAGAGAAGTTATCACTGGAGTCGTATATGTAACTACATTTTCTAGTAGTCACACGAAACAAGAAGATCCAGGTGAAGTTAATTGCGCTATATTTTATTTAACCTCAAAATAGTACCCTTCCAACACATAATTTGCTAAGATACGTTACTTTCCCTTTTTTATGCTAAATCTTCTAAGCCCGGTGTACATTTTATTCTATATACTCTCAATTCGGATCAGCCACATTTCAAGTGCTCTACAGCCACATGCCGCTGGTGGCCACTGTGGGGACAGCCGCCTTTGACTCCCGCCGTTTTCAGAAGGAAGTCGAGTCCCGAGGGCGGGGCCCGCGTTCCACCCAGCGACCCTCGCGCGCAGGCCCCTGGCGGCCCAGGCTCCGCCCAGAGGCGCTGCGCTATCCAACCCTTTGGGCAGGCGAGCTCTGGCCAGGCATGCCCATCCCTCCCACACCAGGCCGGCGTCCGACACCCCCGCGCGCCCCACCTGCTCGGATAAGGCCCCGCGCGATGGCCTCCGCCATGCGGCCCGCGCCCACAAAGCCCACGCGGCGAGGGCCGGGTTGCGCAGCCTCCGCCGCCATCTCACCGCCGGCCCCAGGCCCCG